CAGACATTACAAGAAATGTTTATTTCATTAAACTATCAATTGGTCACCTTTACATTGGTATCATTTCTGTTCTGATTTGATTATCCTAGCTGGGTGTGCAAAACTGTCTATTCATATTAAGTTAATTTTGGGGGGGATATAAGGAGTCACATGTTGCATTTACTGACTATAAAGTCATGTAAATTGTAATAATTTACAAATGTAATTTACAAATGTAAATTATTCTTAAACAACACTGCTATAATTAAAAGCATATTTCTAGCATATACTTAACTATTTGTAAGRAATAATACTAATTTTACATTGAACATCTAGGGAAGAATTTGATTTTGATTAGTTTGTACTTTCAGTGTAAGCTGATGAACATTTAGTAAAATGGTCAAACAACCTCATCCATCAGAGGGTATTAAAGCAAGTGACAAAGTAGAGAAATCTAATCTATACCTGAGAAGTCAAACAGGAGCAGTGCTAGGAGTTGCCACATTCTAGCCTGTGACCTGGATTCCTGAGGTCAACCGGCAGTTGGTAGCAGTTAAAGCTGAGGTTTGTTGAAAGAACAAGCAGAAGGGGAAAGGTAAAGATAAGGAAGATGAAGAAAGACAGTTGAACATTTTTTTTTGTATTATTTGCTTTTCAAGTGAAAATGTGAGATTTTGACCAATGTGGCTTTTTAATTATAAATATATCAAGTAGGCTCTTTTGAGATGAACTGATTATTTCTCTAGAATCAAAAGCATAAACTAGAAAAGATTCAGCTTTGGGTAAAGCCCCCATTAATTTTATGAAACATTCCTAGAGACTCTACATCACTGAAAAAAAATTAGTTCTTAGTTCTGAAGGATTTCATTCAAAGAACAAAGCTTATATTAGTAAGCAAACATATTCATGTGCTATATATATTTAAAGTGCTTAGGGGCTGGGGATGTGGCTCAAGCGGTAGCGCGCTCGCCTGGCATGTGTGCGGCCCGGGTTCGATCCTCAGCACCACAAACAAACAAAGATGTTGTGTCCGCCAAGAACTAAAAATAAATAAGTATTAAAAAAAATAAATAAATAAATAAAGTGCTTAGGATGATTTAGAAATCTCAATTACAAATCTTCAGGGCAAGAATTTTGCTTATTTTTCTGCCAAGGAAAGTCAGTGGGCTAACAATAGTGGCATTAAAGCCTTTTACTTGCTAAGTCATGGATCTAATCAGGATAAACAGGTTAAGTTTGTTCTCTCCAAAGCTAGAGGCAAAATTGTGACTCAGTTATTACAACACTACCACAAGCATGTGGATTCTGCAAAAATTGCCTAGCAACATTACAGCTGGAAACAACATTGGGTAGGGAAGGAAACTAGAAATTTGACTTACATATGCCCTGGTTCAAATGGGTGTAACTCCTCTCTTGGGTACAGTGTGTGCTGTACTCAATGAGCATGAAATTTTAAAAATCAGAATAGTCATTTAAAATTTCAGTTAGGATGTTGCTGTAATTAAACCATAACACTGTGCCATGTGCTTAGCTGAGGAGGCAGGGCCTGATTTCTCATTCATTATGACAGTTTTTTTTTTTTTTTTTTTTTTTAAGGATTACTAGATCTTCTTTCAGTTATTCCAGAAACATTTATGAAGCACTGTCCTGGGATCCAAAGCACAATCCTGGTTGGTGGATAGAGTTCAAAAGACAAATAAAACTTGATTCCAGCTCTGGGTGTGAGAAAAGACAGATAAGTTAAGAGAGTACTACAGTCAGTGCAGGTGTGGGCAAGAGTAAATCATGCAGGAAGGCTCTAGGAAGCGGCTCTATCACTGAGTACTGGAGTGTGCCACCTTTGGTTCCATCCCCACCCAAGAGTAGGGATCAACACAGTGCCTCCAGAATGCTGGGCAAGCACTCACCATGGAGTTACACCTTAGCCTCTAGCATTGAGTCTTGTTTTCAATTTTTAAAAAATACCAGCTTTTAAAAACCAAAGGCTGAATGTTATCTCTGATATACCAATGTTAGCACATGTTAAGTGCAGGAGGAAAGAACAGAAGTTCATTGGATTGGACAAAAGGGAATAAAGGGGACTGGGGTTGTGGCTCAGTGGTAGAGCACTTGCCTTGCATGTGGGAGGCCCTGGGTTTGACCCTCAGCACCACATAAAAATAAAGACACTGTGTCCATCTAAAACTAAAATATAAACACACACACACACACACACATATATGGGGATGAAGGGAGAGAGGATGGGAATAGGAAAGACAGTAGAATGAATCAGACATAACTTTCCTATGTTCATTTTTGAATTCACAACCAGTGTAACTCCACATTATGTACAACCACAAGAATGGGAAGTTATGCTCCATGTATGTATAATATGTCAAAATGCATTCTATTGTTATGTATAACTAAAAAGAATGAATAAAAAATAATACCAGCCCCCCCCCCTCATTCTACATATTTGCTGGGAACTTACCTCACCCACTGTGGGTGAGGATGCCAAGCATTCAAAGTTCTGGGACTGTGCACTGAGAATTTCCCTTCCCATGTTGCCCCAGTTTGAGAACTTCCAGTTTAGAGAAGTAGACAGATGGCAATGTAGGAGTTGACAAAAAYAAAACAAAGCAAACACTGTTCAGAATGTTTACTTCCAAGAAGGGGAACTGGGCTGGAAATTGAAGGGATAGATGGGAAAGTTTTGTATCATTTAAATCTTTATTATTTGGGGGTGGGGAAGCCAGAGAAAAAAATGATATAGTGTGATGTCTGCTAACCTTTATACACTTTCATTGAATGAAGTAGTAATCCTCTATTCAATCTTAGAATAGGAACTGGGATTGTGACCCACTGGTTGAGCTCTTGCCTAGCATGTGTAAGGAAAGGCACTGGGTTGGATCCTGRCACCACATATAAATAAATAAAGGTCCAAAAACAACTAAATAATTTTTTTAGAAAACTCTTAGAATAGGCAAATTTAAATGTAAACTTGCCAATTTAGGAAGCAAACCAATTAACATTTTAACTAAGGGTTCTTTTATCAGTGATAAAATAGCACCTACCCCATATCAGAACACTACAATAAACAAGTTAGGGAAGGTCCTTGCCCTCAGGGCATAGTGACAAACAACCTACTTGGAGGTAGACATAAACCTGTTAAGGAAATAAAACAGGGAAATGTGAAAGACCAAAGTGGGGCAAAGAAGKGGATATGAGAAGTTAGTAACAAGGGATATAGAATTCTTATAGAGGAGGGGCTCAGGAGTAATAGTCTAATAGAAGAGGCCTAAGGGGATTTAAAGTTCCCATTTACCTACAAAGCACATTTTTATACAAATTCATGCTGTAGATCCATAAAAGCAGCAGTTTTCTAAGGTTATTTTTATTTACATTTCATAGAAAATGTCACTATCTAAACCAAATAATTCTGTTATCAGAAGGGACAGAGGGGGAGGTATTAGAGGGTGCTAGAAAACAATCCTTGGCTTTGACCACTCTGGATCAGAGAATGCCTCTCCTTGAAGTGTACAGAGTTCTGATCGTCTATAAGTTTAAAATTAAGTTTGGGTTAGCATACAAAAAGGCATACTTACATTAGCTAGCAAATGTTTGTGGAAACAGCTGTAGACCATTTATTGTCAYCAGTTGTGATCTCAAGACAATTCAACAATCGATATGCTAAGTACTGACCAGTTTTAAAAATCTAGCTTGATGTTAGCTTTTGAAGTGTTAGAACAACTTAAATCACAAAGTATTAACTCCCATAAAATGCTATGATAAAAAATAAATAAATATAAGTGGCCATTAAGCCAAGATTACTGTCCAATATTGTGAATCAAAAACAAATTCATCACTGGTAGTGGTGCACGCCCATAATCTCAGCGACTAGGGAGGCTGAGGCAGGAGGATCACCAAGTTCCAAAGCAGTCTCAGCAATTTGGGGAGATCTTGTCTCAAAATAAAGATAACTGTAGCTCAATGGTAAAGTGCTTCCAGGTTCAATTCCCAGTACTAAACCAAAACTAAAACAAAGAGAAAAACCCACACAACCGAAACCAAACCCACCTGAACAAGCATTAAATATCCWCTGACATCCAAAATTCACAAAAAGYGKGCTGTAATCTACTGGTAGTGAGAATACAAATTGTTTTCCTGGAGGGCAAATTTGGCAGSTTAAATCCTTTGACCCAGTAATTCCCACTCCAGCAATGTATCCTAAATAATAATAATACCACGGAGAAAGAAGGATATTAGTCGCGGGGTTATTTACAACAGAAAAACTGGGAAAGAAATTTTGTGTGTGCAATAAGGTACGGTTCGACAGGGTACGAGGGGAACTGTTTTCTCTAGTTAGACCTTAGCTGCCTGGCCAACCCGTTTTGCCAACACRGGCCCACGTGCAGGCTGACAAACACCGTGGTCGCTTGGTGGGCACCAGTTTGGGGTAGTGCCACCGGGGTGCTGCTTCTGTTTACAGGGACAAGCCTTGGCTCGGCTGCATGGGGGACCACAGGCCTCGAGAGCTCACCTCAGAAGGTCGCACCCGCCCCCAATAGCCACCACCTGAGCAAACTGAGGCTCAGAGGACGCGCCCCACAGCCAGTGTCTTCGCGTCGAGAACTCGCGTGTGGGTCCTCTGGTTGACCTCGGTGTCCCTCCTAGGCACACCAGTTCACAGAATTCAGGAAAGTCCGGAGGCCCGACCTCGAGTCCGAAACGTGACTGCACACCGCCACGCCCACAGCGCCCCAGTGGCTAGCGCCAAAGGGACGCCAGGCTGCAGGCGGCTCCGGCTACTGCCGGCCCGCAGGGACCAAGGAGGCCCCCACGCCGCCCTCAGAGTTTCAGACCCCGGGGCCTTCAGGGCGTCCTGAAGGCCGCCCCGCAGGGCGTACCTCGCTCCCTTCGCCCCTCCCTGAAAGCCGCCTCGGGCTCGCTCATAGGTCCGAGGCCTGGCAGCGCGCCGACCGGCAGGCGGAGCCAGCAGTTTCGCGCCAAAATCGCGTAGCTGGTTCCTCCCCCGCGGGCTACGTCGCGCCCTCCTTTTTTTTTCAAACCCAGAGCGGGGCGGGGATTGGTGGGCTGGGCTCTCACGTGGTTAACGGTCGCGGGAAGCCGCGGAGCCCGAACTTGTTGCTGGACCTGCGGAGACCCCAGCCTCGGTGCCCGGGCCGACCAGCTTCCGCTGGACAGTCCACGCCGCCACTGCAGCCTCCKCCCGCAGCCCAGAGCGCTTCGGAGTCGTCGTCGCGGCCGCCGCCGCGCAGGCTCACCGCCGCCGCAGCTAGGCGCGCCCAGTCGCACGTGGCGGACCCGCCCCCTGGGCCRGCCGAGTCCTGGACTCCGTGGTCAGCGGCTCTCCAGTCCTCCGCCCCGACCCCAGGCCCGCAATGAGCTTCCTTAGCCGGCAGCAGCCGCCGCCGCCCCGCCGTGCCGGGGCCGCCTGCACTTTGCGGCAGAAGCTGATCTTCTCTCCCTGYAGCGACTGTGAGGAGGAGGAGGAAGAAGAGGAGGAGGAGGGCAGTGGCCACAGCACTGGAGAGGACTCGGCCTTTCAGGAGCCCGACTCGCCGCTGCCGCCCGCGCGGAGCCCCACGGAGCCCGGGCCAGAGCGCCGCCGCTCGCCCKGCCCGGCCCCCGGCAGCCCCGGGGAACTGGAGGAGGACATGCTGCTGCAGGACGCCTGCCCGAGCGCGGACGCGGCGGGCGGCGGGGCGGAGGGCGACTCGTGGGAGGAGGAGGGCTTCGGCTCCTCGTCGCCGGTCAAGTCGCCAGCGGCCGCCTACTTCTTAGGCAGCTCTTTCTCGCCTGTGCGCTGCGGCGGCCCGGGGGATGCGTCTCCGCGGGGTTTTGGGGCGCGCCAGTCCGGCGAGGGCCCCTGCTCGCCGCTGCCCGACCACCCGGGCACCCCGCCACACAAGACCTTCCGCAAGCTGCGGCTCTTCGACACGCCGCACACGCCCAAGGTGAGCGGACGGGCGGGAGGGCCGGGCGCCGGGCGGCCGGGCCTTTAAACAGGCCGCGGCGCCCAGCCGAGCGCGCCGCTGTCGGGGTTCGGTTACATAACCGCCCGGCCGCGCCTCGCTCGCTGCCCGGCGCCGCCACCCAGAGTTGGCAGCCCCTCTCTTTGGCCCTGCCCAGGAGTTGTCCGTTAAGATTATGTAACTGAACAATGGGGCTCGTCTGCTCTTCTTGATTTTACAAAGGGGCTGGTCGGCGCCGTGCAGGTGGCTGACGATTTGACGCCCCCGGAGTCGGGGCCGCCCCGAGCACCTCAGCCCCGAGTGTGGCACCGATATCGAGGGGTGCAAGACCGGCCCCCTGACACTCCCGAGCCATATGGTGCCTTTTAAACGCGGCGACGAGGCCTGTAATTTGGGACCCTCGGGCAGAAGGTGTTTGGTTAAAAAAAAAAAAACTCCCGTCTCTTATCCTTTTCGTGTCTAGTGGCGTTATGGGGGAAAAGTGAGGACTTCCATTGGCGAGTAAAGCTCGGCCTTCCCCCCATTTACAGTCCTAGACTCAGAATAATGCCGGGTAGCTTTTAAGCTTCGTTCAGGACGTTGTATCGGGTAAGCGTTTGTTTTTGTCCGTGGGATAGCGGTGCCGGAGTTTGGTTGCCTTTGGGTGATGATTAGGGACTCTGCTGTTGATATCTTAAGGAGGGTCTTTGCACCTGTTGGTGGAATGGTCATTCAGTATGCGGATTACCACTTCTTATACTCCAGAAGTCACCCAGGTTTAAGGACAGACACCGAAATTAAGACAAGCTGCACATTTGTGTGCGAAACGTATTTCAAGTGAGTCCGGGTTCACTTCGTTGTCCGTTCATCATAAACACCAGAAAGATATGTACTTTTGAGAATTAGTTTTATTAGCGGATTTGCCTATGGCAAGATCCTCCCGCAAGTGAGGGGAGGAGTCCCGCGGGAGTGTCTTTCAAAGCACTATTTAGATGGGGGAGGGGAGCTTTTATGAGACTGACTGCTTTCTATTTTCAGATGACTGGGGTTTGTTAACTTTTAAGACACTGAAATTAATTTAGTTTTAGTTAGCATAAATATTCCTTTTAGGATTTGAGACCGATTTTACTTTGCTCCCTTTTTCGGAAAGATAGATAATATCTAATCTCAGACTCTTAAATTAGCCACTGTTTTTTTTTTTGTTGTTGTTGTTCGTTTGTTTGTTTTGTTTTTCACGAGTTACATCCCCAGCCCGTTTGAGACAGGTTCTCGCTAAATTGTTCAGGGCCTCGCTAAATTTCTGAGGTTGGCTTTGAACTTGGAATTTTCAAAGCCTCAGCCTCCCGAAGGGCTGGTATTAAAAGCTTGTATGTTGCTTCATTTTTTTTTTTTCCCCTGCGGTGCTAGGGATGAAACCAGGGCTTCCAGCATGTTACTCAAACACTTAACTACTAAGATACATCCCCAGTTTTGATCTCTACCTTCAGCCACTTAAAAGGCCTGTTGAAGGTTAGATTGAGAAGGCTGTCTGGAGGGGTTGGGTCCTAAGAATTTTTATTTTTCCTTCTCTAGAGTTTGCTTTCCAAAGCTAGAGGAATTGATTCCAGCTCTGTGAAACTCCGMGGTGGTTCTCTATTCATGGACACAGAAAAATCGGGAAAGAGAGAATTTGACACACGACAGACTCCTCAAGTGAATATTAATCCTTTTACACCGGATTCAGTTTTGCTTCATTCCTCAGGACAGTGTCGTAGAAGAAAGAGAGCGTATTGGAATGAGTGAGTCATTTATCAATAGTTTGGCTTTCCCATATACCCAGAATTGGTTTGGTGTACTTAACAAAGTTTAGCTTCTACTGAATGGCATAGATGGTTAATTGTGCTCTGAAATGTTTTCTTATTAACACTTATGAAAGGAGTGGTGTGAAAAAGGAAGGAATAAAAAAATATAAATTGTAGGAAAGCTGGTGTCAAATGAGGCAGGCAGTAAAGCCTTATTAAAAAGACTTTACTTTCTTTTTTTTTTTTTTCTTGGTATCGGGGATTAAACGCTTAACCACTGGGCTACATCCCCAGTCCTTTTTTATTTTGAAACAAGGTCTCACTAAGTTGCCCAGGCTGGCCTCAAATTGCTATCCTTCCGTCTTAGTCTCCATAGTTGCTAGAAATACTGGTGTGAACCAACATTCCCAGCTTTAAAAAGACTTTAATTTTGATATGTGTGGTAATGTTGACATCTAGTTAGTGAGTGTATCTCAGCGGGGACTTTTTCATTATCTGAACTGAATCTTGTGATTACAAAATTAGAGGAATTGATTCCAGCTCTGTGAAACTCGGAGGTGGTTCTCTATTCCTGTATATGTACCATAGTCAATTTTAGATCTCAAGTTGATGTATCTATTAGATGTGTTGATGAAAAAATATATGCTATTTTTTCAGTTCCTGTGAAGATATTGAAGGCAGTGATTATGAGCTTGAAGATGAAACAAGACCTGCTAAAGTAAATATTTATTTCTGAAATTTTGTTTAAGATATATACATGTGGGCTGGAGATGTGGCTCAGCGGTAGCGCGCTCGCCTGGCATGCGTGCGGCCCGGGTTGGATCCTCAGCACCACATACCAACAAAGATGTTGTGTCCGCCGAGAACTAAAAAATAAATATTAAAAATTCTCTCTCTCTCTCTCTCTCTCTCCTCTCTCACTCTCTCTTAAAAAAAAAAAAAAGATATATACATGTTAAGTAAGCATGAAAGCATAACCTAGAATAATTTTTTAAAAGTTCACATATAGTCCTGTCATCATAGCAAAAACTCATTTTCATTTCTTTGTATTGTGTACATGGATAACCTTTTTATTCCAGAGAATTACAATTACTGAAAGCAATATGAAGTCACGGTATACGACAGAGTTTCATGAGCTGGAAAAAATTGGCTCTGGAGAGTTTGGTTCTGTGTTTAAGTGTGTGAAGAGGCTAGATGGATGCGTTTATGCCATTAAGCGATCAAAAAAACCATTGGCCGGCTCTGTTGATGAGTAAGTATTACACATTCCTATCTTTTTTTTTTTTTTTTCATTTCCTATGGCATTACAAACATTAAGGTTTTAGATGATCAAACGTTGAATTTAACTTGTTTAATTTTTGAGAAATCATAATGATTAATCAGGCCCTTTTAATTTTGTGCCATTGTTTTTTATTTTAGAGTCTAACTTAAATTTATTATTTCTAGTCAACATCCATGAATTTACAGTAGAATAGCATGTAATCTTTCCTGAGTCCTAAGGCCAGCAAACTTTCAACTTTCTGAAAGTCTTTAATGGAAGGAAGCCTTTGGGAAATCTCATGAGTCTTAACCCTGCCCCCACCCCCAGCATATTTCATTTCAGCATAAAGTTTGAAAAGTAAATTCAGAGAAATTAACTCAGGTTAGTCTTGAGTAAAAAATCATTTACCATTCTATTGATCTCAAATTTCTCCTAGGCAGAATGCTTTGAGAGAGGTATATGCTCATGCAGTGCTTGGACAGCATCCTCATGTGGTTCGATATTTCTCTGCCTGGGCAGAAGATGATCATATGCTTATTCAAAATGAATATTGTAATGGTGAGTAGTGTAATGGTTTTCTCATACACTTATATACTTGAGAAAATGAGCACCAAGGAGGGAATATTATTATCTCAAGTTTTTTCTCCTTCTTTCTCTCTGACTCTTGTCTCTGTTTCTTTTTGGAGTAGTGAGTATTAAACCAAGGCCTCACATGTACAAGGCAAGCACTCCCCAGCCCGTCTTATAAACTGAAAAGATTAGAGGCTTTCTGTGTATTTTAAGTGCAAGTAGATTGAAAACCTCCCTGCTAAAGCACTTTGTAGAGACCTCAATAGAACTTTGTATACTATGCATATCCTTGTAATTAAAATTACACCAATCCATTTGAGAAAATAGCGATCTTCCCATGTATATTCTGGTATCCTAGAACCTAGCATAGTGCATAGGGCACATAGTTGTTAAGACTTAGTCGGGGCTGGGGCTGGGACTTAGTGGTAGAGTGCTCACTTGGCACACATGAGGCACTGGGTTCCATCCTCAGAACCACATAAAAATAAAAGGTATTTGTGTCCACCTACAACTAAAAAGATACACATATATATATAAAAAGATTGTCTTAAGTCTATTTTTTGCTGCTACAAAAGAATATTTGTGTTTGGGTTATTTATTATTTATGTATTTTACAGTACTGGACATTGAACCTAGGGCCTAACATATGCTAAGCACTACTGCTGAGCTAATCCCCAGCCCTTTTATTTTATTTGGAAACAGGCTGGCCTTAAACTTGTGATCCTTCTGCTATATATTTTTGTAGTGCTGAGGATTGAACCTAGGGCCTTACATTGTGAGGCAAGCAGTCTACCAACTGGGCTATGTCCCCAGCCTTGGATAATTTTATAATAAACAGAAATTTATCTGGTTCATGGTTCTGAAGGCTGTCAACAGCATTTTTTAAGGGCTGAACCCYCTCCCCCCCTTTTTTAAAAAATAAATATTTAATAACAATCTATTTTTGAGGACAGAGTCCCTGTGATGCAGTCACTTCTTATCAGACACCCCCCCCCATCCCCGCTCCCATTCCTTTTTGCATTGGGGATTAAGTGTCCAACACATGAACTTTGGGGGACACATTCAAATCATAGCAAAGAGATTTTTTTTCCTGTGGGATCTCACTGCATCCATCCTTGCTTTTCCATTTTATTTTCTGTTTATAGTACTGTTGTTGGTCATGAAAGGACAATGACTCTCTATTATAATGTTTTTCATTTCTTCAAGGTGTTCTGAAATTCTGCTTTACTCCCACCATCTGCTATTTTTTGCTTTTTAAATATTTTTATTTGTTGATGGACACAATACCTTTATTTATTTGTTTATTTATTTATTTTTATGTGGTGCAGAGGATCAAACCCAGTGCCTCACACCTGCTTGTCAAGCACTGTACCACTGAGCTACAAACCCATCCCTGCTGTTTTAATTCTTTAGCTAGTCTCTCTCTTGCAAATTGAAACAAAGCAGACATGTATAGGATAAACTTTGGACCTCCTTGAATTGTTTTTACCTTCATGAAGTTCTTTAAGGACCAGCTGGTTTCCTTCTTTTATTTTATTAAATCTGTACCAAAATCCTGATTTGAATGCTGATATATAGGATTCTATTATACACTCATATTTCTTTATATATATTTTTAGTTGTAGATGAACACAATACCTTTATTTTATGTATTTATGTGGTGATGAGGATTGAACCCAGTGCCTTCCCTTACATGTGCCAGGCAAGTGCTTTACCACTGAGTCACAACCCCAGCCCCTATACACCCACATTTTTATATATAATGTAGTATTTTTATTTCTGTACATCTTCTGTGACTATTAGAGAATTTGGGGTTTAGCTAACCCTTGAGAAAGCAAAGATTTATTTTTGTTCATTTTCATTTTTTCTTTAAATAATTAAGTGGTACAGATTTAGGTTCTCCATATTTAAAAATAATGAACAAAGCAAGTTCATTTTCCAGTCTTTACTCCTTAAGTTTAGTTCTCTGCCCTTGAAAGAACTTTGTTCATTATAAAGCATTGCTGCTAATTTGTTTCACATAGCTTTAGAAATGTTTCTATTCATAACCTCAAAATTTATGTAGCTGTTTCTTATGATCTTATGGACTATTTTTTTTCTTAACCCTAACTTTTCAGTTGCTGAGTATAATTTATAACAACTTAACCATATTGTCTTTTCTGTAACATATTTAGTTGATGCCATCTCCTTTTAATTTATTTTTTCACGTTGATGTGATATACCCCCCAACCCCAATTTTTAATTTAAAAATACATTTGACACCTGGAAGACACTATAATACACACCTGTAATCCCAGCAGCTAGGGAGGCTGAGGCCCAACAATCACAAATTTAAAGCCAGCCCTCAACAACCTAGTTAGACCCTATCAAATAAAAAATAATAGGGGCTGGAGATGTGGCTCAATGCTTAAGTGCGCCTGGTTCCAAATCCTGGTTACTCCCCTCCCCCCAAAAATATAAAATATATTTGACATTTTGGTATTTAGTCCTAAATTGTAGAACCTCCCTTCCTGACTAATGCACTATTGACCTTTCTGATTTTATTACCCTGAGTGATTTTAAGTTTTAAATATATTTGTTGTTTTGTGGTGCTGAGGATCAAACGCAAAAAATAAAAATTTTGATTTTGTAAGCAGGTTGAAGGGCAAGGTCCTAGAAAATATCATTCTTTGTTGAGAGTAAAAAGGAATGAAAGAAGACTATGAAGGAAGAAAATATTAATTTTGCTGTTTTTGTTAGGTGGAAGTTTAGCTGATGCTATAAGTGAAAACTACAGAATCATGAGTTACTTTACAGAAGTAGAGTTGAAGGATCTCCTTTTGCAAGCATGCTAGGCAAGTGCTCTAACACTGAGCTGTAGCCCAGCCCAGGTTTGTTTTAACAGTTCCTCATTGATTTTGAGACAAAGTATAAATGTAAAAAGTTTTTAAAAGTGTAAACAAATTAATTGATTGGTTTAACCTGTTCTATAAAAGCAGGTTTATATTCTCATTCATAAAAGAGGTATAAATTTAAACCATACTCAGATACTGGTGTTTACCTCTAAAATTTATGGACTTGTTAGGGTTAGGGCAAGAGTTACTCATACATTGATAATGGGCATATAAATTTGATATGGTCTTCTGTGGAGAGAGAATGAATTCGTCTGTGTTTTGCGTGTATTACAAATACTTACAATCTTGATCCAGCAGTTTTGGTGCCAGGGCATACTACATATGTGTGAAGTGACCTATGAATAAAGATATTCATTAGGTAGGTCACAGTATATAAATGATTTTTAAATAGTCCATCAATTAGGGGATTGGTTAGTGCATTACCATTCAATGGAATTCTGTGGGGACACAAGAAAGAAAAGGGTAGTCTTTTTATATTAACAGAATTTTCTTCAAGATAATGAACATATAATATCATTTGTTAAAATTTGTTGAATACCTAAGAAACTGACAACATTGGTTTACTCTGGGAATGTGAACCATTCAGGTTGCTGGAAAGAAGGTTTAAATTGTATTTTCTATCCATATGAGTCTATTTACGATTAAAAGAAAAAATAAAAATTTTATTTTGTAAGCAGGTTGAAGGGCGAGGTCCTAGAAAATATCTTTCTTTGTTGAGAGTAAAGAGGAATGAAAGAAAACTATGAAAGAAGAAAATATTAATTTTGCTGTTTTCGTTAGGTGGAAGTTTAGCTGATGCTATAAGTGAAAACTACAGAATCATGAGTTACTTTACAGAAGTAGAGTTGAAGGATCTCCTTTTGCAAGTTGGCCGGGGCTTGAGATATATTCATTCAATGTCTTTGGTTCACATGGATATAAAACCTAGTAAGTATTATAAATCCTCTGATTTGCATTCTTTGGGGATATAGAGAATAAATCGTTTCATTATAATATGAAACCACATGGTTTTTCATTATTATCTTAAAGTATCTTTGTTAAAAGTACTATTTTATGATTCTTATTCATCTCTTTGCTTGTTACCCTACAAATTTACATACTACTTATTAAAAGAAACCTTTCTGCTGTCTTTTATAGGATCAGTGATAGAGCACTTACTAGCCTTAAGTACGTCCCTGGGTTCAGCCTCAGGACTGCAAAAACAAAAGCAAAAGACTTAACACCCTACTCCTCTGCTAGGCCAGGCCATATTTAAATTTTCTCTAATTGACCCATGTCCTTTTTTTTTTTTTTTTTTTATTGTTTTTAGTTGTAATGGACACAATACCTTTATTTTTTTATGTGGTTCTGAGGATGAAACCCAGTACCTCACATGTGTTCACTGAGCCACAATCCCAGCCCCTTTATTTATCCAAGTCTCAGCAGTTGATTTGTTTAAAAGTAGTATCTCTCAGCACCATGCATTACATCTGGTTATATCCAGTTTTCTCTTTAGCATTTCATTCTGCTGCTATTCTCTTATTTACTTACTTATGTAATTGGTACTGAGGATTGAACCCAAGGGTGCTTTACCACCAAATCATCCCCTCCTTTTTGTTTTTCCTCCAATTATTTTTTATTTTGAGACAAAGCCTCACAAGTTACTGAGGCTGACTTCCAACTTGTGATCCTCCTACCTTGGTCTCCAGAGTCTCTGAGGTTACAGGCAAGAGATGAATAAGAGTGCTTGCCTCGCATGCTCAAGGCCCTAGGTTCAATCCCCAGCACCACAAAAAAAAAAAAAAAGATGTATAAAGTGACTTAAATTCTCATGAATTGACATACATTCCCATAGATATAAAGCAGGAAAAAGGGCTGGGGAAATAGCTCAGTTGGTAGAGTGCCTGCCTTGTATGCATAAAGCCCTGCGTTCAATCCCCAGTACTGTCAAAAACAAAAACAACAACAAAAAAACCCTGTAAAATTCAACTTAAAAACACTTATTAGACTAAAATGTTCAGTTTGACTCCCGTCARCCTTTAGCTACAAATTAATTTATAGGAAATACAGGGGAGAAAGGAACAAGTTAAATGATACAAGGAAGCAACTAGTCAAATTCAGAAGAAAAGGTATCTTGCAAGACAATCCTTATCATTTTTTAAAAGTAGAATAAAGCAGCCAAGTTGCAAGGTACAAAGTGTGAAATTATTAAGAGATATGAAGTTTTAAAATCAGCAAATTTACAAATCCTACCATAAGTTGTCTAAAAATAAATAGAAATTGGACAGAGGAGTCCAGTGAGTATAACATTTATAAATTCAGTATTTTATCAGTAATAATAAAATGAAATCTGCCACTAAAACTTAAGTTAATCATGAGTTTACTTGGATTTGAAGGAAAAGCTAATGTCTGTACAGTAGCAAATAGTGAACCACAAAACAATATTGGTCAGTAGATTCTGTATGGTCAGCCAAACTCGTTGACTAAATGTCTTATTCATACCAGCCTTGTAAGCACTAAATTAAAATTTGTGCTTTGGCAGCATCACAAATTACTATGTTTTGTATTGTTTTTAAGTTAATAAACTGCTAGAGATTAATATGTATTTGATGAGATTCTAATGCAGGGTTTTCTAACTGCTCAGGGATCGTTGTCGAGCTAGGAAGTATTTTCCCAGAAAATATAGCTTTGTCATCCTCCCCTGAAGTTTTTGTTCTCATTGGTTTTGGGGTAGAACATGAGAGCTGGATTTTTCAAAGCCTTTTGGATGATGTTGATATTTGACTTTGTTTACAAACTATAGTTATACTTTTGTTAGTGAGGCTTAAATAATTAACTATTTAACAGGTAATATTTTCATATCTCGAACTGCAATCCCAAATGCTGCCTCTGAAGATGGAGATGAAGATGACTGGATATCCAACAAAGTTATGTTTAAAATAGGTAAGAAAGATAACTAGATTGTATGTTAAAATTAAGACAAATGCTGTTTGTTTTGGTTTTTAATTCTGAGTGTGTGTGTGTGTGTGTGTATGTGTGTGTGTGTGTGTGTGTGTATGTATGCATGCCAGAAATTGAACCCAGGGGGCCTTTCACATGTTAAACAGTGATCTACCACTGGGCTATATCCCCAGCTCTTGGTTTTAATTCCTACTGTGATTTTTCAATACTTCTAGGTGATCTTGGGCATGTAACAAGAATCTCTAGTCCACAAGTTGAAGAAGGTGATAGTCGTTTTCTTGCAAATGAAGTTTTACAGGAGGTAATTTTTGTCTTTTGATAATTTATTAATACTTTATTAATACTGTTGCTTTGTACTTTTATATTAATATTGTTGCTTTGTAATACCTATCGGTTGTTGGGAAATATGAATACAAATATATTAGAATTTTTATAACTAGTGGAACAGAAAGTCTAAACCATTAGGTGGGAATATTTATCTAGTAAAAGTCATTGAAGGCAAAGATTTATTGTGACATTGAAGTTAAAGAGATGTTCTCATACGCTACTGGTGAACTTTAAAATGGTAAAGTCTTTTTGGAGATCAAAATGTTAAGATCTGTCAGTATTTAAAAATCTGTGGTTTCAAAATCAGTTTGCCACATAATTTCAGAAGAAGTCTGACAAATATTTAAAATAGAATAACAACAGAAAGTATAATTATGGGGGCTGGGGATGTGGCTCAAGCGGTAGCGYGCTCGCCTGGCATGCATGCGGCCCGGGTTCGATCCTCAGCACCACATACCAACAAAGATGTTGTGTCCGCTGAAAACTACAAAAAGAAAGTATAATTATGATCTTATTAATCTTTTACATATGTATTTGTCTGCTTTATTGCACATGTATGTATTTATGACTTGTTGGTATGTTCATGTACACGTGTTGTGTTTGCATAGGAATCCCTAGAGAGTGAGTTTTTTTCTGAGAATTTAAGGAGCTTGTTATAAAGTTAAGAATGCATTTGGTTTTAGATATATATTTAAATTTTCCCTTCTGGAAAGTGCATGTTACTTTGTAATTTAAACGTGGCATTAACATTTTAATTTAGTCTGATTTTTCACTTAAATCATCATTGAAGTGTACTCTTTTGACCATTTTTACATAACTTTTACAGAACTATACCCATCTACCAAAAGCGGATATTTTTGCCCTTGCCCTCACAGTGGTGTGTGCTGCTGGTGCCGAACCTCTTCCCAGAAATGGAGACCAGTGGCATGAAATCAGACAGGGTAGATTACCTCGAATTCCCCAAGTGCTTTCCCAGGAATTTACAGAGTTGTTAAAAGTAAGCATTTTATATATGAACCATTTTGTCAACACTGTTCAATACTTTGTTAAGTTGAATGTCTTTAATTTTACTTTTCTTTCTAAGGTTATGATTCATCCAGATCCAGAGAGAAGACCTTCAGCAATGGCACTGATAAAGCATTCAGTATTATTGTCTGCATCTAGAAAGAGTGCCCAACAATTACGAATAGAATTGGATGCTGAAAAGTTCAAAAATTCACTTTTGCAGAAGTAAGTGAGGAGTTTTGTTTTTACTTTTTCATTCTCATTAATTCTCAGAGTTTTAATGAGAGCCAAGCACAGTGGTGTATGCCTGTAATCCCAGTGGCTTGAGAGACTGAGGAAGAAGGGTCACGAGTTCAAAGCCAGCCTCAGCAAAAACAAGGCACTAAGCAACTCAGTAAGACCATGTCTCTAAATAAAATACAAAAATAGGGCTGGGGATGTGGTTTAGTGGTTGAGTGCTCCTGAGTTCAGTCCCTGGAACAAAAAAAAGAAATTTTTAATGAAAGATCACTTAGGCTCAACAAAAGATATAATATTAGTTTGATATGTTGTTGCAAATGAGAGTTTGGAGACTTCTGCCTTAAGTGAGTATTTGAAATATTATGTTCTTAATAAACTTTGAAATTTATGAAATTTAAAAATGTTAAGCCTAGAATTTTTGCAAGTGGCAATAGTTGTTAAGCTCTAAATAATAGTAAAAGCTAAGTGAGCCCTTACCAGTTTTTTCCCCAGACTCATCAAAAATTGTCTTCCTTAAAACATTCTGTTGTGCTTGTTTTACAAAAGGATGAAATTAATATTGATTAAGTTGGCAAAGATGATTATATATATTTAGCCTAAATGGCTTGACAGTTTTAGAAAGATAGTTGTAAAGATTAAGATCATCAGGGACTGGGGTTGTAGCTTAGCGGTAGAGYGCTCACTTAGCACATGTGAGGCCCTGGGTTTGATCCTCAGCACCATATACAGATAAGATAAACATATTGTATCTAACTACAACTAAGAAATAAATATTTTAAAAAACCATCATCAAAAGAGAGAAATAGGGTCTGGGGTTATAGCTCAGCAGTMGAGTGCTTGCCTCACAAGTATAAGGCACTGGGCTCGATCCTCAGCACCACATAGAAATAAACAAACAAAAACAAAGGTATGTGTCCATCTATAACACACATATATATAAAAAAGAGGGAAATATTGGAAAGTATTAGTAACCACATGTCACATTTCTAGTTCTTTTGATTTATTACTCCCATTTTTAAATTCTAAAATTTTATATTTAAATATTAAAATGTTTATATATCATTAGTTTGATAACCATCAGTTTATACAGATAAGGTTCTCCTTTCATCTGTTATGCAAAATAGATTCATAATTTAAGTTAGAGTTTTATTTGAATTTTTTTAGTGCTGGGAATTAAACACAGGGACACTTTACCACTGAGTTAGTCCTCAGCCCTTTTATTTTTTGAGACAGAGTCTTGCTAAGTTGCTGAGGCTGACCTTGAACTTGGAATCTTCCTGCCTCAGCCTCCCAAGTCATTGAAATTACAGGTGGGTGCCACCATGTCTGGCTGAAATTATTTTTTAAGATCTAAAGTTATTACTATTTATTATTACTCATGTCTTTATATTAAAGTATATATGGTATTTTGATGCCAAAAGCACAAAATAAAAATACTTTCTTTAAAAGTAGATGTTAGGGTGAAAAAACAAAAGTTTTTTTTAAAAAAGTACATCTTGGAATAATGGTGTATGAATAGTTCCCAGTTAATAGTACAGTTTGTGTTTGGCCTCTTAGAATCTCTTCCTAGGATTAATAGATAAAAAGTTCTGTTTTCTATTTTTATGTTCTTAGAGAACTCAAGAAAGCCCAGCTGGCAAAAGCTGCAGCTGAGGAAAGAGCACTCTTCACTGACCGGATGGCCACTAGGTCCACCACCCAGAGTAATAGAACCTCTCGACTTATTGGAAAGAAAATGAACCGCTCTGTCAGCCTTACTATATACTGAACTACTCATTTCCCACCTCCCCCCMAAAAAAAAACTGTGACAAGAGGAAGCTAGGTTGAAATCACTGCTAGAATCCACTTTGCAATTACTTTCTCTATTGGTGTCAGTAGTTTTACTGAAATACTTTTTAGGACTTTTATTTGTGAATTACAGTTGAAAGCTGTATTTTGACCTTTGCCATATCAGGCTTTTGTGTATAGTCTTATCAGTTTGTCTTCTGTAGGATGTCAGTCAGTCACTGTTGGATGTTACACCATCCTTTGCAGGGTTAACCACTGTGGTGGTGTGCTGCTTACAGTTTTCTGTTGCATTGTAATAAAAGGTATCTTTCCCTGTAGTGACCTGTAGAAAGGACTCAAGGGCTTTATTGCAAACATACTTCCCTTTGAAAAGGGGAATATTAAGATACTCAGTACTACTCAGCCTCTCCAATGTACCTGTGTGTCAATCTTACATTTCTTTTTTTCTTTTCTTTCTTTCTTTCTTTTTTTTTTTTAATTGTGAATTATACTTATATATCCAACTGGGAGCACTTTGTAGGCATTGCATGAACCATGGAATGATAATTCTGTGGAAGTATTGCCTTGTGAATTTGCTGCTATTTTAGTTTTGTCTTTGCTGTAAAATTGTAGCATTAAACAATCATCATTGTTAATAGGCTTTCTTTTGAAACAATTATGTGAAATATATAGCTGTTCTTGATGAAAAGCAGCTATTTGCCTTTTTTTCTCTTTGAACTTTGAAGCTAGTGCATTGAAAAAAATGCACCTCTTCCCCTTTGGAATGCTGTRTTAATGTAGTATAATTATTACTGGTTTTGTAATTTTTTCAGATAATGTCCTTCCCTGACAACTTTTTTAAAATGTCTCCTTCCTTCTCCCAAGTTTTGTACTTGATTGTATGGTTAGTCTTGTTTTTATGTTTTGCCTGGTTTCTCTTCAATATTTGTGTATATAAACTGATCTTGGTAATACTGTACATAGCTGTTTGAAATGCCAGAATGACTTCTGACTATACCAAGTTTTCACAAAATACATTTGATCTGTGATTAGCCACTTAATTATTAACACTGGCTAATGGATATTACAAAAAAAATTGTCTCTTGTTTGTTTTCTCATTAACTTTGTTCTAAAACATGTTTGCACTTGTCTGTTTGACTTGTGTTTTATTAACATTGATTGGCATATTAAAAGTCACTCTGAGCTTACCTTAATTGTTGATATTTTTGTGGTGCCTGTTTTCTCTTATTTTATCTCCATTATCACTACATTATAAAATGTAGAGTGTAATGTATATAAAGTACTATAGCAGAGTGCATATTTTTGATGAAATACAAAACTTACTGCCAGTTTAATGATAGGCTTTAGTCCAGTTATATTTTGTGATTCCCTGAAAGTTCACCCATCAACTTTAAATCATTAAAAATGTTCACGTAATATTTTTGTATTGCATTACATATTATGCATCTGACTTGCTAGAAATATGGTATAATGTAATTTAAAATAGCCTCAGGTTAATTCAAGTGAATAAAATAAGATTCATGACTTTTTCTAATTTTTACTGAGTCACAGAAGAGAGCTTTAAAGTGGGAAAGGGGTGTGTGTGTGTGTGGGGGGGGTACTTCAGATTGAATCCAGGATCTCACACATGTTAGGCAAGTGCTTACCACTGAACTACACCACCAGCTCATTTTGAGGTAGTCTGCTAAATTGCCCAGACTGGTCTTGAACTTGTGACCCTGCTACCCTAGATTCCAAACTGAGTGCAAATTGAAATGATAGTGCTTGTTCTAATGCGACATTTTTTCTGACAGAGCAAGAGTGATGTTGCAAGATCATTGTGCTTTGATCATAGTCTATTATCGATCAGGCTCTTGATTAGGCTCTATTTCTGCTATAAACATTTCTAACAAGCTTGATTATTTTACCTTCTTAGCATCTTTAAAAGTAAAACTTAAGAGGAAGAGGTGATAGAAATTGGTAGACAGATAAATATAAAAACTAATGGGTGCTGGGCACAGCAGTGTACATTTGTAATCTTGGAAGATTGATACCGGAGGATTGCAAATTTGAAGACAGCCTCAGCAACTTAGGCTGGGGGTCGAGGGAGCTGTGGCTCAAAGATAAAGCGTTCGCCTACCATGCATGAGGCACTGGATTCGATCCTCAGCACCACACATAAAAATAGAATAGAGATATTGTGTCCACCTCTAAAAAATATTAAAGAAGGGGCGGGCGGGCTGGGGATGTAGCTCAGTGGTGAAGTGCCTTGGGTTCAATCCCTAGTACCCCCTACCCCTGCCGCCCCACCAAATCTGATGAGTATTAATCAAAGAACCTAAAAGACCTCATGGACTGGAACAAGTAAATGTTTCAATTTTCATTAGCTAAGGAAGACGGCTATAAAAAATAATTTGTGTTCATTGTGACTAAGTCATTAAGGTACATTTTTCTAGTGTACTAGCTTCAAAGAAAAATTCAGGTGTCTTTTTTTAATCAAGATTTGTAGTTTGTTTTTTAACATACTGTTTAATTAGGTTAAGGAGAAAATAATCTGGTATTTGGTGCTCAAGGGGGAGTTCTTAAGCCATCTGAAACCTGATGTGAAAGTTGGACTCATGGTCAACGTAAGATACTTTTGAGTGCCTTTTATGTGTTTTGGTAGACCAAAAACCAGTAAGAAATAGTCTTTGCTTACTAGGGACTCAGGATAAAGTAGAGGAAACTCATGTAAATATATATAATGACAATAAAGTGTGTTAAGTGCTCTATTGGAGGGATTGGGCAAGGTTAAAATGATGGTTCAAACTTCTACACATGTCTTGGRAAGATAGTAGTGGTAGATTGAAGAATGGATCCAGGAAATGAAGTTCAGACTGGTTTCAAAGCCACTGTAGCAAAAGGAGGATAGAGATTTCATTAGATGGAAACACTGCACTTGAAATAGTTTAATTTTTATTACAAAGAATAAGAACTTAGCATAATATCTGCTGGGAAGCACTAGTGCTAATAATGATGAATTGAWGAATTTTCCCCAAAATTTAATTAAAATGCAAAGGTCTGTTACTGTTTGACAGTATTTACCATTGGTACAATTATATTCTTTTTGGAAAACAGTTTAATAAAGAAGAAAAATTAAAAGCAGTTGGGTAAGAGGAATCACATTAGAATTTGACTACAAATAAAAATTTGCCTTGCCAAGACTCCAAGAGCAAAGAGCAATACCCCTTTAATTAATGAACTTTTGAAGAGCCAATTCTCAAGCTTTGAATTTCACTTGTTTTTCACTCCATCAGACGTCAATAACATTTCAAAAATTTCATATAACAGCTGGGTTTGGGTAAGGTTTCAGGCTATCTCCTAATTCTAAGTAGCAGACTAGAGTAGTTTTTCTTCCTCCCCAGTACATCTCCACAAAGCATCTCTCTTGACTTTAGCCAACAAAATGTTTTGCATCCTTAAGGCATTTTTATTTATGAACTTTTTGAAGGCCAATTAAAGCAATCAACAAAGATGATGGATCAAAAAAGTTTTGGAAGTGTTTTGGATATTGTGAAAATCATAAGTGAAGCCTGGAACTAGGAATTTGGAGGAAACTCCCTTATTCAATATTTTTGAAGGCATTTGTATAACTAAAAATCATCATTGAAACTGATTGACAATGCAGAGTGAGTGGATCTAGAAGTTAACTTCTGCAAACCTGGTTATGTTGTTAGAAATTTCTCAGAAGCTCAGCGAAGTAGATATTTATTTTTTAAAAAAATGCAAGAGTAAGACATCATTGAAACTGTCCCTCTCCTAACATTTAGTTTTCACAAACTGAGAGGTACTCATCTGAACATCATTGAAATTTTTTTTTTCTTTGTGGCAGATGTCCCTAATTTTCAATGCAGTTCAAAGGTCTCTGGAGTAAGGAAAAAATCTATGTATGCTCTAGGAAGATTTACCAGGAAAAGATGGCATGTTCTGTCCCAACTTCATTAAACTAAGAGTCTAAGAAACCTTGGCCAGTCCAGCCCTTGAAGAAAAATACCTCAAAGGAACATTTATATCATAGTTCATATTGTTTAATTTTGTATGGTTAATAAATATTTTGAAGAATATATATTTGTTTTGAGTTCTGACATTCTTATGATATGAAGTGAATTACCAGCCCCAGAATACTGATTTATGCCAATGGGAAATAATGTACATCATCTGTATTTAAGGATGATTACTCAGTAGGAGAGTCACCTTTGTGAAGGTGAGAATATGGAAGCTTGAGGGAGTTAAACAATTTAGGAATAGGTACTCAGAGCAGAACCAAAATTCCTTCTCGGATCTCATTTGAAGAACTGTGTTTTTCCAGACACTTGAAAGTTGAGGACAAAAACCAATTAATGTCAGGGCAGTTAGCAAAGGATAGTAAGAAGGAACAATGTAAGAATGAGGAAAGTTGGGAGAAATCTTATGTCATAGATACCAATAGAGAACTTCAAAGAAGAAATCAATTAACCGATAAGATTAAATGACTTAAAGGTCTGAGAAGGAACCTAGAGTTCATTAAGAGATTTTGATAAAAAGTGCTGGTAGAGGGGGAACAAAAGCCAGTTAGCAGTGGGTTGGGATGTGACCAGGATATGAAGTAGAGACAGCAAGATAAATAATTTTTTAAAAATATTTATTTTTTAATTTTCGGCGGACACAACATCTTTGTTTGTATGTGGGGCTGAGGATCGAACCCAGGCCGCACGCATGCCAGGCAAGGGCGATACCGCTTGAGCCACATCCCCATCCCCGATAAATCATTTTTAATATGGTTAAAGGGAAGAGAGTTATAGCTAGAAAGGAATTTTGAGTTTTGTTTTTGATGAACTTTATTATAAAATTACTGTGGGCTAAGTGTTTTACAAAACACAAAAACATTTAATCCTCATAAGAACCCCATGACATCAGTGATAGTGTACTCATGTAATTCCTGCAACTCCAGAGGCTGAGGCAGGAGGATGACAAGTTTCRAACTAGCCTCAACAATTTAATGAGACCCTTTTATTTAATGAGAAATAAAAGGCTGAGGATGAAGCTCAGTGGTAGAGTTGTTTAATACCCAGTACCACACCACATACACATACAACTCCATGACAAAATCTGCATTTTATACGTAATAGAGAAGTAAAGTGAATTTCCCAGATTACATAGCTACACTCTCAGGAGTCAGACCCCAGAGTGCTGCACTGAAGCGCACTAACTTAATTCAGAACAAGTGTTCTGTTCCTATAGCAGAAAAGGAATGAGCATGGATGAGACAAATTTGGAAGTGTTCTGGGGAATGTAGAAAATGGAGGTGGGGGATTCCCAAATGATGGACTCTCTTCTGAAGTTAGAAGTGAATTCCATGAATTCAAAGTGTTAAAGGGGCCTGAGGACAGACAAGTGGAAGGAACACTTTCCATTCCTTGCGAATGGGGTGGGTAAAAATTTTTTTAAAAAAAGTTTTCAGGGCTGGGGATGAGGCTCAAGCGGTAACGCGCTCGCCTGACATGCACAGGGTGCTGGGTTCGATCCTCAGCCACATAAAAATTTAATAAAGATGTTATGTCCACCGAAAACTGAAAAATATTTAAAAATCCTCTCTTTAAAAAAAAAAGTTTTCAGAGTATACTACACAGCTCTTTAAAGCAGTGTTTAAAGGTGTTTTATAGCTTGGGGAAATGCATGTATTATATAATAAAGTGGAAAAAAAATCAGCAAGCAAAATTGTGTGTGTGTGTGTGTGTGTATATATATATATATATATATATATATATATAAACAAAAGAGCATGAGACTAAAATGATCATTAATTGAAAACTTCAATTATGGGGCTGGGGTTGTGGCTTAGCGGTAGAGTGCTTGCCTAGCGTGTGCAAGGCCCTAGGTTCGATCCTCAGTGCCACATAAAAATAAATAATAAAATAAAGGTATTGTGTCAACTATAACTAAAAAATAAATTTAAAAAAAGAAAACTGCGATTATGAAAAATTTCCCTCTCCTTTTTCATTTTAAACTTATCCTATTTTATTTTTTAAAAATATTTATTTTTTTTTTAATATTTATTTTTTAGGTGTAGATGGACACAACACAATGCCTTTATTTTTATGTGGTGCTGAGGATCGAACCTGGGTCCTGCCTGTGCTAGGCGAGCGCTCTACCACTGAGCCACAATCCCAGCCCCTTAAATATTTATTTTTTAGTAGTAGTTGGACACAATATCTTTATTTAATTTATTTATTTATATGTGGTGCTGAGGATCAAACCCAGGGCCTCACAACGTGCTAGGTGAGCAYTCTACCGCTGAGCCACAACCCCAGCCCCAATTTATCCTATTTTAAACAATCAGTTTTATTTTATAATAAAAATAAATTTTAAAAACATTTGAGGTTATTAACATGCACAATACAATCTGGGCAAATCACATGGCTTACCAAGATTTGTCCAATGATGATGCCCATTCTTCTTCCAGATTTCTGATAATTGAGACCACTCCTTTGAATTCAGGTATACCAAATGGAGTTTTTCCTAGAATCTTCACCAGCATAGATGGGGAAGCAGCTCCCATTTTTTTGCCCCCCC